CTATGAAAAGGCTTATTTGTATGCATTCATGACATACATGACAATTCCACGAACCTTTCTATTCCTCGCATTTTTAACACCTCTATGCAACATGACTGAATTGGCATAAAGATTGACCAAATAAGGAATGCACGAGATGCGCAAGCCARCATGACTTCTCACTTCTATTTCAAACACCATAAGCCAATCATATTAAAGCTTTCCACGTGCATCATCACATGATTTTAATAGCAGTATCTGATTGGACGAAATGGTGTGATTGACATAAAAATATCTCGTGAGCAAGAGTTTTATAACCTTTGCCTGCCTTTAGTTTCATTCACAGAACGAGCTCAGATGGAACWGTTGGACGAATAATAACGGTAAGCTTGAAAGTAAACACTTTTCATTCCAAAACATTTATGAACTTCTTCAAAATAAAGGATAACGCAAATATACGACGTTTCAACATTAACAGTGACTTCATCTATATATTTATGTTGGTCATTTAGCAATTCATAAAGTAATTTGAATATTAAAARGAACTTTCTTCTAAATAATAAGCTCCAAAAGTAGAAAAATATAAAAGAAAATTGATATGATTTTACCTTATTAGATATTTCAAAACTTCAAAATTCTATATGAAGTTGAATGATTGCAATACTATTTCATAAACGAAGCCAATCCAAAGTTTTTATTTCCTCTACTACCTTGTACGTAGTTGCTTGTTCGGTATCCTTCTCGAAGAGAAATTGCTTCAAATATTTTCATCTGAGAGCTGGTAATATTCGTTATTAGTCGATCAAATACAAGACAAGTTTTAAGTTTGACGGAAATTTGTTTAATCAAACATTGCGCGCTTTCCAAGACTTGTGTAATTTGGCCGTTGGTATAAATTGATTATATTAAGTTGTCTAAGAGAAAAATGGTCGAACGTTTAACATTGGAAAACGAATATTGTTGAAGCAATTTTTAAAAAATTTAATCGGTGTTAAAAAATTTTTCTCGGCGTAGTTTTATACCGAAGTATTAACGCATGCACGTTTTATATTCCAATCCAGGTACRTGGCCTCAAGCAAGCTTYATATCAAGGGAATCRCTTGGTCAACTATTGAAAARAGTAATTCATATGTTTACACATGATCATTGAGCAAGTTTAATTTTTTTTTTTTACAAAAAAATCATTGCTTGGACTTTTGAGTTTACATTTCGCTTCGCTTGCTCGAGGTATCAKTGTCTTGTATTTATGAAGGGGTTCRGTGAATRGTCGTTCCTAAATCAAATATGGAACATTTAAAAACATTTATTTGACATGCAGTAATCATTTCTAGATCATTTTGCACTTAATTTTGACTCTACTTTTGATTATTGCAAGTCGGGATTACTTAGTAACTAGGACTAGGATTAGCGGGGCTTTGAGTATACGAAGCCCTAACAGATATATAGGAGAAGCTACCACGTGTGAATCTAGGTGGGGTTTAGTGTTTTTGACTGGCAYTTGCCARGGTCAATTGGCCAATTCTAGGTTAGTTTTTCATTAAGGCAACGCTGGACAACACTGGAGACGACCTGGATCAACAAATCTATTYAATACGTCTTGTTTGATTTAGAATGGAGGATTTGCTATTTGTYTTTTATGCAGTGCTGGTCGGTTTTTTCATCTCACACACCATCTTTAAACTGCGCYTAGGGTTTAGTTCGGTCTTTCGGTTCTAAGGTTAGCACCGGCCATGTATTATGTGACACGAATGAACTRTCACTTTTTCTCTCCACGATAGCGAGGGGGAAAGCGACTGGTTGCTTGGTTACCTGCAACATCAATAACTTTGGCACAGTCMAGGTTTGACCAAGGTCTTGTCTTTGGGTTCCCTTTTGYCGGCTCTGGAGTCACGAACGGAAAAGGGCAGCGGAGCAGGCAAGAGGGAGCTTGAAACTGGTCTTGGATCATGGAAAATTCAATGTAACATTCGTGGGATCTAAATTTGACATTGGCATTTCTTTTACTGGACGGTTAAAATTTGAAAAATTTGTCATTTATTTATTTCCTTATGCTTTCTTCCTTTCATTCTTTCTTTCTAAATTCCTT